TAAATGATGTTCGTTCTACAGAGGAAAAGAGGAAACAACTGCCATAATACAAAAACAATGCATAAGATGGATCTTGCAGGAAGAAGTTTAAAAGTTTACAGTTGTTTCCCACAGAATCCATCTTCTACAGCAAATGCTAACAGAAGTGCACAAGACATATCACTAAATCAACAAACTGACCTACAAAGTGGGCATTTTTAAAAAAACTACAGAGCTATTAGGTAAAATGATTTGAGGATTACTTAAGTGAGCTTCCCTGGCTGAGGAGAGAGGAGTTGCAATGTTGGAGCCCACATCCTGCAGCATACACTGGACCTAGGGGCAGTAAGAGATTGAGAAAAATGGTAGTATGCATTACAATCAAAGCATAAACAATGAAATTACACTTGCAGAGATGACATTTGATAGTCAGTATGCACTTTAGAAGCAGTTTGATAGGGATTTTCAAAGCCTTTCACCAGGTGAAATAGCTTCCCACCGTGGAAGTGATTGAATTAGTAAATGTCCAAAGTGTGAGCTGATACTCAGCTCTCTTTTACCCCCCTCCTCTCCCCCGCATCTTGGTTTACACTATTTGTTTTCTCTTGGTTTAAATCTGAAAATCCGTAACTATCAGGCTTAATCTGTGCCCTACACTGTGTAGAGTAATGGATATGAAACGCTGTGATGCACACAGCTCATTAAACTGATTTATTTTTTTAGCACAGATAGAAACACCTTGTTTCCTTCAGGAACCAAGAGATTTAAGTCTGACTAAAGGATTTATGCAGAATTCCTACTGGCTGCAATAGGATCTACAAAGCTAAATTCCCTTGGTGGCTTAAAACATTTAAACCAAGAATTTAAGAACTCAACATTATAATAATACAGATTTAATAGTACTACTCACTTTGTGAAGTTGTTCAACAAATGTGTGGCCACTTTCCTTGCTAAATTCACTAGCAATCCTAGATTAAGATGAAACAGAGGGTTAGCTCTAGGACAGAGATTTCTTTGGTACATATATCTTATATTATGGCTCATCACACTCAGTATTACTTGCACAGATTCACAAAGAGCATTGCAGTGCAACAGAACAGAGAAGGACTCCAAAACCTAAAAAGAAAAAAACACCAATTCAGGAGCATGTCTGCATGAGCATCCACTGCTTTCTAAATTGTGTTCATATAAATCAGAGGCACACCAGGAATGAGTTTTGTCCTATACTCAGGAACTGCAAAGTGTAAACACAGTTGATCCACTAGCAGGTTTTTATTGATCAAAAGCAAATTCTCTTCTTCAAAGAGAGAAATCAGGCTGAATGAATAGTATGGCTGTGCATGCTTTTTAAAAAAAACAAACAAATAGATATTAAGTGTTCCTAGCTAGCTGATAATGCAGTTCTCCATAGAATTTGGCTCATGATGAATTTGCAACTTCTCCTTAGGCTCACAATATTTCCTGCACCTCGCTTTCTTTAGAAAGGAAAAAAACCTCTTCAAAGAATACCAAGAATAAGCAGTGTGCACACTTCCAACAGAACCGACTTCTCAAGCTTTGTTGCATCTTTACATCACAGAGTTGGCTTGTAGGCTTTGTTCTCTGTTTGCAGTAAGGTTGTAAAAATCCTCTTTAACTAGGTAATTGATTAAATGTTAGGTTGACCTAATGTTTAACTTAACTGATTAAATGGGGTTTTACATTCCTAGAAAGAGAGAAACTTTTTGTTGCTCTCTCTTCACATAAAAGCTTTAACAATAGGTTAGTAAACAAAAATAAAAAAGATAGAATTCACAGTTTTATTACCCAATAGCAGAACTCAATTCATCTGTTGTTCCCAAAGCTTCAAACACCTGATCATCTTTAGATCTCCTTTCTCCAGTATATGTGCTGGAAAACCCTTTAAAAACAATCAATAGCAATAAGAGAAAATGAGACGGGAACAACTGCAAATTTTAAACTATAGAACTAAACTGCAAATTTTAAACTATAAAAAAAATCTCTACAGTCTATGCTAGGTTGACACCCAGGTAGCAGTAGGTTAGATTTATCAGACCCTAAATCTCCAGGACTGCCACCATTTAGCAGCTGTCAAACTGATTATTTCCAGATCCCCACTCAAAATCAGTTTCTTCCAGTCTGGTGACAGACTCACAGACCAACAAAACAACATGCCCAAAGATTTTTTCAACTAACTCAGGGGCCTATGTGTTACTTTAACAAAGATATTCCCCATCCCCATGAACATGTAGGAACTGTCCTGCTCACACAGGGCAGGCAAAGTTTCAGCAAAGTTGTAGAGTCAATTTTTTTAACCACAAATAGGGCCTAGCACTAAGAGAACACATGGAATAGACAAACAACCGTTTAATTTCTGTATTGACTACAGACAGTCTAAGAAATTTTCCTCAGCATGGCTGTTAAAAAGTCACCTGACAATTCTAAATAAATAGCATGTTGGAACACCCCTTGACTCATCTACTGTTATCAGACAAACATTCATTATACTGGCTAGTATATTTAAATAATTCTGAACATTCTTAGAAATATAAAATAAATAAAAGCCCTTGTTTATTATATTTTTATCCAGCTGCGAACACACTGTAGCTTCTAGGTTTTAAATGAAGACCAGACACTACCTTTGTCTCCTGTTTTTGTATAAATCTTTGGAGCAGGGGTTGTCTTTGGTTTGATTTCCAGGCTAGAAGTAATATGAAACAATCATGAGTTTAGCACAAATGGCATGGAAGGAGCTGTTGGTGAGCTAATAGATCTGCATGATTTAGAGAGTGAAAAAGAGAGAGATAGCACAGGGCTGGTCACGGTTGTTGACACTGGGTTTCTGCCCATGTCATGTGGCGCAGGGCAGACACCTGGGGGCAAAGGGCAAGTTTTGCTTTGGAACAGGGCAGCCCCAGTTGCATGGCCGGCATTTGTGTATCACCTGAAATACACGGCGACACAGAAGCAAGGTTGCACCTGGGGTTGAGGAAGCAGCCTGGGTAAGGGGGCAGCCCTGGCACTAGCAGGTGCGGCCCAGGAGTGTGTATGTGGTGGAAACATGGGACAAAAGGAGCACAGTGCTGCCTGGGACTGGGGGGGGGGAGCGCGG